CAGCAGATGACTGTTTAATGACCTTATACCTGTGCAGTGGTGTTCCGTGGTTTACAGCTTGAAGCCCCTTTTATGGTAATTATGTTACATGCTATTCATTGCAGGGACACGAGGTTGACGGAAATTTCCCAAGTCAGCTGTATTGGCAGTGATGAGTGCGAAGCCCTTTGAAGCTTACAACGGCCCCAGCCAGTATTCTAAATCTTCTAGAACACTCTCAGTTTCCAATACAGTGAGCAGTAGGTAGCCTCATATTCCTAGATTAGTTCCCACGCTTTCAGTGTACCCCAGGGGCTACGCCCTGTGGATAGCAGAGTTTGGGCCATGGGAGACAGGCTGTCCCCAGAGTGGCACCACGGGAGGCACGGGACCTTTAGAAACAGGACCTCATGGGGGGTCTTGGGCTGCCTGTGCGCTCACAGGGCTCTGTAGGACCCAGGCGCCTTCTGTCTCTCTCTTCTCCGTTTCCGGCTGTGCAGTGGACACCTCACTGCAGCACACCCACCTGCATGTGCACTTCCTGTCCGCAGACCGAGAACAGGGGCCACAGTCGTGGAGTGGACCGTCCAAATCAAGGATCAGGATGGCCACTTCCTCCTCCACACTGGTCTCCTTGGGGAGGGTGAGTTTATTGTGTCCTGGAGCCTGACCTCGAGCTACCACGTGCCAGATCCCCCTTCCTGCTTGGCGCCCCTGGCCTATCCCTTGAGCGTCCTTCAAAATGACTTCTTGGGAAATGGCCTCAAAATGATTTCCAGCTTCAGGGCCTGGTGACAAAAGATAAATGAAACGATTTGGGAAAAACTTCAGGTCTTTGCTGAAAAGGATTTTTGGTGCAGTAGACATGGTTGATTCATGGGTGCAGGAGAGAGGTGATGTGACTGGGTCCCCCTGAGCTCCAGGTGAATTGAGAGTCGAAGGCACTCCCAAGGGTGTCACACCTGCTGTGTGTGCTTCATGGCGGCTGGGACAGGCTGTAAGAGCCATCACGTTCATCGCAGGCTGCTGTTTCTATGGATATGTGTGTCTGCAGGGCAGGTCTGGAAATCAGGGTCACAGCAATGGTCTCCAAAGCAGGGTCCCTAGTACTGCACCTTGGGCTCCGCTGGCCTCCCCTCTCTTCCAGGCTGCCAGCCCTGCAAGAGACTCCGGATGCAGGTGCAGGGTAATCACAACACACCTTTGGTTTATGTTTTCTTAATGTAGTTGTAAAAAAAAAAAAAAAAAAAGCCTGTATTAATAAGCATAAAAAAGGTTTGGAATGCAAAATACACATAAGTCCCTTTTAGGATTAAAAACAGCCCCAAGGTTGAATGTGCAGAAGGCTCTGGTGTATGTGGCCTCTCGGGGCCTGAATGCCCTGGGCTCAAGTGAGCCCTGCAGCAGCTTTACGCACTGTGATGGCCCAGGCAGCCCTGGCAATCCCTGAAACAGAGTGCGAGGATGCCACAGGCCATCGTTCCTATGGCGGAAAAGGAAGTACACCTCTCCTGTTTGTTTCCTGTTTAGTGTTGGTTTGCAGAGCACAAGAACTCAGAATCACTACACAGCCCACTCTGGAACAGAGCCCCAGGGGAGCATAGTGCCATCTGTCACTTCTCCCAAGATGTCCCTGCCACACCGGGAGGCTGGCTGTCCACACAGCATGACAGAAAGGCCACACCGGGCCTGAGAGGAAGTCAACAGCGAGTGGCTCACAGCTTTCCAGCGTGTTCTTTCCCATTTGGGGGCAGGAAAATTAAAAGGCGGATGTGCTCTTCACAGCAGGAAGGAGACCCTGAAAGGAATCCCAAGGGGCGACTCAGCATGGACTCGGGGCGTGCTGTGAGCTGCCCTTTTCCCTAGGACACAGAGGCCACAGTTTGCAGCTGAATGCCGCCATCTTCCTGCTTTCCCTTCTCTGTCTTTAGTATGTGCTGAGAGAGTTTACTGAGAAACCAGCCCACATCCTGGAAGTCCTCAGGCCACTTCAAGTACTGCTGCTTCTGCACAGAGCCTCGGATGGCCACATGTCTCATCAGCTCATACGGGACAGCAACCCCACCAACCACCACGATGAGCACGTGCTAGACGTCGGACACACCTGTCCTGGGCATAGCTGAAGGCCTCCAGGCACCACTTATCATAGAGGAAATGCCTGCTCATGAGGCATACAACCTTCCTGGTGCTCCAGATGGCTGCCTGCAGGTTGGTGACGTGGTCTTCCCCAGGGACGAAGTCTCTCTCTTCAAAGTATAGGTTCAGCCTGTTTCAGTCATCATACTGGACCCAGTACCACACACCCTAGTCCAAGCCACTTCTGAAAAGCCCCACCTGTGATCTCATGAGGTTTTTGGAGGGACATTCAGACATGAGCTACATAATACCTTGTCAATCCCAGCCTTCACTAATGGCAACAGAATTATTTATAGGTTCACACCATTCAGTGACACTTTGGACACACACAGCGGTGGTGCTCTCCAGGATTACATGGACCTGAAAACCATCACTGTGCATTTCACCTGCATCTTGTCTGAGTAGGATGTTCGTGGCCGCCTGTGGTACACGGTGATCCCATGCTGTACCCACGCACGGCCTAGAAGCCGTGGCTCCAGCAGAGCTCTGTGCACCAGGGCCTCGCCCCCTGCACAGTTGTCCACGGTTCCCTTCTTATTAAGTGGCACATGACAATAACATGATGTGGGCAGACATCAGCATCAAAGATAGGACATCGACACTACCACCGTGGCATGCGCTTGGAAGGTTTTAAGGAGTTTCGTGGGTCTCTTGTCTTTTTCTTTTTTACCTTTTGGATGTTAATTATGTTCATAAACAGCGACGTGAGAACAAGGCGGTCTGAGGCTCACACGCTGTCTCTAGGTGAAAGGGTGGCACCACCCTGATGACATCAAGGCTAATGCAGCTTTTCCTGAAGCAGCCAGCGCTCTACATCCAGGGTGGCCATTTTCTGCAGAAATTCTGCCACTTTCTGTAGAAATACTGATTTACTGTCTGAAGTTCCCAGTGTTTCCTACAACTGATTCAAACAGGGAGAACATGGAGTGTTCTATTTATTTCCAGGTGAACTCTTCACATTTCCTGGCTTCTGAAAGTTCTCCTTTCACAGATCTTTTTAAACATAGCTACAAAAGTTTTCTATGAAACACTACAAGTTAAATCCAACAGTATGTCGAAAGGAGGCACATTGTAACATTTGGGGTACCTCAAGAATTGGGTGTCCCTATCACAGTAGATGGGGTTATCTCAAGAATGCAAAGTTCAGGGCCAGGGATTTAGCTCAGCTGTGCAAGTCCCTGCCTAGCAAGTGTAAGGTCATGAGTTTGATCCCTGGTACAAAAAAAAAGCAAAGTTCCTTTAAAATTTGAAAATCAATGGGTAACTCACCAAACTGATAAACTTTATATTTTTTGTTTTGTTTTGGAACTGGGAATTGAACTCAGGACCTCATACTTCCCAGGCCTTGTGTCTGGGAAGGTGCAATGCTGCTGAGCTATCCCCAGCCCCTGGTAAACTTTAAAAACATAATCTATATGTTGAACTCAGGAGACACCAAAACAAAACAAAACACATTTTTGTCAAGCATGGTGGTGCATGCCAGTAATGTTAGCTACCCAAGAAGCTGGGGAGGCTGAAGCAGAAGGATTGTAAATTCAAGGCCAACCTAAGCACTTTGTCTCAAAAAAAAAAGAAGGCCTGGGATTCCAGCTCAGTGCAAAAGGGCTTGCCTAGCATGTATAAAGCCCTGGGCTCAGTCCCCAGTACTGCCACACAAAACGGTCAACAAACTAAGAATAGAAAGGAATATAAACCAGCCTCTGATACCATCTTACAGCTAACTTCATGATTAGTGGTGAATGATTGGGTGCTTTTCCCCAAGATCAGAAACCAAACAACATGTCCATTCTTATCACAGCAATTCACCACTGGTTAGGGGTGCACTGAGGAAAGAAAATTTATCCAGATTGGAAGATGTAAACTTAATCTGTATTTTCAGACAACCTGAGTATGTATGAATAAAATCAGGTAAGATGTAAGTGAAAGTTAGAAGTAGTAACTTTGTTTTTTATATACATAGCAGAATATACAATTATCTTCTTTATTCATAGCATTCTTATTCAATAGCTGTTTTATTAATAGACATTTTGTTTCCAGTCTTTTGTTGTTACAAATAATTGTGGAATTACAAAGTTTTGTGAATGTATCTTTCCAACATTTGTGTTTAGTATTCTGTCTTTGAAATACATTTTCAGAAGTGGGACTGTTGGGCTCAAGGTGTGTTGGTGGTAGAGAGCTTGCCTCGCATGTGCAAGGCACTGGATTTTATCTCCAGCACACTGAGAAAGTGAGATTGGGTCCTTAGGAAAATCTGGAGGCGGGTCCAGGCAAGGTTGGCAGCAGTCATTTAGGGCTCTTGACATTCCATACAGCGAGGCACCGTGGGAGAGCGCCCCCACCCCATCTCTCTCTAGTGCTGTTCGGGGCTCGGCCAGCCATCTCAGAGCGGGTTTGTGCAGTTAGGAGCCATGTAACCGTGTTCCTGGTGGCACAGCTTCTTATACATCTTTTCTGAGCCTCACTAGTTTGTTCTCTGTGTGTTTTGTTTCTGTAGGCAGGGGCTGAACAAGCTTTGGGGTTTTTTTCACTTCAATTAGATTTTACTGGTACATTTCAGACATACCTAATGATCATCATAGAGGATTTGTACCTATACATGGTACTGTTTTCTTTCCCATTCCCCTACCCTCCCTTCAACGCTCCTCCCCTTACCCATTTACAAAATTTCATTTCCACGTTTTCTTTGTTTTGTGTTAAGAAATCAGATTTACAGTCTTTCCCCTTTTTGCTTCTTAATTTTTGAGACATAATCAAGAAAGACCTCTTGAGTACACAGAAAAAAAATCACCCAATGCTTTTTTGATACAGTCTTTTGTTTCTGCCATCAGTTGCTGATCCTGTTAATCCACATTGTGAATAATGAGGGAGAGGCTCCATCACCTACAATGCCGGCAATCTGCGACAGGGCAGCCGAGGTGCGCTGGAGCCCGACAGCCCTCCCGCCACCACTGCCCAGCTGTGCACCCTGAACTTTGACGCGTGGCCCCGCCCACCCGGGCGAAGGTGCCAGCCAGGCCCGTAGCCACGTAGCAGCGCGCTCGAGGCCCGGCGCCCAAGTCCAGCGGTGGCGGCGCCTGAGCGTGGTGCCTCGCGCAGGTACCCGCCGGCCTCGCTCTGCGGCCACGCGACCCCGCCCCCGGCCACGCTCATTGGGCGCTCCGCCCCCGGCCTCGTTCATTGGACGCTCCGCCCCGCCCCCGCGCGGTGCCCAGCTTTCGCCCCGCCCCCTCCGCGTGCGTTTACAGTTCATAGCGCAGCTGGAAGGCAGGTGCAGCTGTGCAGTCCGCCCTCTCCGCCTCTGGGCGGGACTCCTTGCCGCTGCTGGTCCGGCCCGGTCCCGCCGAGTCCGCAGGGAGCGGTCCTTCACGCTGGACGCGGTGTCAGCCACTGTGCCCGCGGTCGCCGTGTCCCCGTGCAACTTCGAGCTGCTGAAGCCCCTGTCGATGCTGTACTCGGCCCTCGTAGCCCGGCTGCGGGAGGTGAGGCCGGGGAGCCAGGGTCGGGCGAGGGGCGCGGGTCGCCCGCCGGTGGGGGCCGGGCCGCGGGTCCCCTCGAAGAGCCATACCCGACGGGCAGGAGCGCGGTGGGGACTGCAGAGGGCCCGGCTGTCCGGAGGGAGCGGCACGGACTGAAGCCAGCCATCGCCTTGGGAGCCACGTTCATGCCCCACCTGTTTTTTCCGCACAGATGGTTTCCTAAGGGTGCAGCGAATTGAGACACCGTCTCCTGGAGGAGTGATGTCTGATTGGTGGCGATCATTGTCATAGTGGTTTTGTTTGCAGACCCACAAACCGATGGCTTCTATCATGTATTTACAATGTGGTGTGTGTGTGTGTGTGTGTGTGTGTGCAGTAATAGAAAACAGCTCACCTAAGCATGATCTGGACACATTCTGGCCACCTGTGAGACATCGCGATGAAGAAGGGCCTGTTGCCAACTGGGAAATAGGCTCAACTCACTCCCTAAGTTTAGAGACTGCACATACCAGACAAGAACGCGAGCCTGCCTGTATCGCCTTTCCGGAAGTGTTTTCAGGGCACCTGGAAGTTGGTTTAGACTATTGAGAGCAGATTGAGAGTATTTGCAATGATCCTTTCTGATTGCTCCGCCAGTTCTGTTAACGTTTCTGTTATTTGTGCCCTTCCTTTTCAGCTGGTTGCTACGTTGCCTGAGGATGCTCAGCCCGGGCCTGACTTTTATGGGCTCCCCTGGGAGCCTGTGTTGCTCACTGCCTGTTTGGGAATCGTTTCGTTTGCCATCTTCTTCTGGAGGAATGTTCTTGCAGTGAGTGAATTAACTTGTTCTTTGACTTCTGAATATATTGAGGATTCTATTATCATTGGCCCTTTCAGTTATTAACATAAACAAATCAGTGGTTATAATTCAAGTTTTCTGAAATAATTTAATCTTGGTACTGGCAAAGACTGAAGAGCAAGCTAACCATATCCACTTGTTAGTAGAGTTGGTGACTCGTACAGCCATCCTGAAAAGCAGTTTAATAATTCTATATATCACAAGCCTTTAAAATGGGATACAAAACAGGATAAGAAATATAAATTGCTTATATATGGTATGATAACATCAGTAAACGATCTTAAAGAAATAAATTACATATTAAGATATTATACAAAGGTATTAGATGAAATAGTATTTAATAGAACTTGGTGAAACCTAAATGATCTATATTAGGGAATACCATGTTTCATCTTACTTATATCCACAGAACAGAATATTAGGCTGCTGTATGTATTTCAAAGGCAGGGGCAAAGACGGTGTTCACAATTTAATGTGAAGTAGGAAAAGTGGAAACAGACCGTGAGGTGTTGATGAACTGTGCTGTAGAAACATACAGGGCAAGAAATACAGTAAGATGGTAGAAACATCCAGGCAAGATCAGGCAGTGGTGTGTGCATTCCTGCAGCCCTGGAGGAGAGGGAGGCTGAGGCAGGAGAAGGGCAAGTTTGAGCCCAGCCTGGGCAACTTGGTCACTTAGCAAGAGCCTGTCTCAAGAATAATGGGAAGGCTGAGAATGTAGTTCATTGTGAAGGCCCTGTCCCAGGTACCACCAAAAACAAGCCCAAAACAGCACCCTATGAAAGATTCCAGGGAGGACTTCTTGAATCTCGCTGAACAGCTTCTTGAATGAAAGAATGCCTGGAAGGGTAAGCGGAAGTGTGTGGGGGTGAAAAGGTGCTATTTCCCCTGCTCCTCTCCTTCCGGTCCTCTGCAGCTGCTCCCCAGCAGGGCTCTCAGGCTCACCTGCAGCTTCACACCCTGCACCTGGGCTCACTTCCTCCCACTCACTGAGGTCACGTGGCTCTGAGGCCCACTCCTGATCCTGGAGAGGACAGGTGCCCTCCCCTCCCCCCAGCTGGCACTGCGCTCTGCTGTCCTACACTGTTTATAGCACTCGGAAGGAGAAGACAGAGTCTGTGTTACAGAGAAGTGCAGTGATCGCTGCTGTGGTATTTAATTAGTTACAGTTTAGGATTTATGACCCCAGAAGGCACTGGGAGGAAGAACTAGGTCTGTGCTCTTCCTGGAAGCTGTCATTTCTGTGTTCTTCTGGTGTCTTCCCTTCCGCTTAGATTTATTACTGTTTTTGTGGTCTGGGGAAATCAGATGATGAGGTGTATTAGATTATTTCTTAATTGAGTCAATAGATGACTTGAAATAGGGTTTCTGAGGTATCTTCCAGTGAGTGAGAGAGGCGTAACTTAGTGCAAAGGTTATGCTGGTAATCTTGCTCGCCAGTTTTCCATGTGGTCACCCATTTCTAGACTGCATGCTTGCTTTTGGGATTGTCAAGTAATTTTGAGTAAGTAAATCAATAATGTGTGTATTATAAAAACAAGCATTTCACTGTTGAAGCCAAATGCTCATCTCATAAGCCTGGTGTTCACTTGGTCCTGGCACACAAGCCTGTGTGTAGCTGTGAGGTAAGACACGCTCCTTACTCTTCCTCTGTATCAGAGGCTATTTATAATTCATTTTTCATTGTATGGATTTATCCTGAACTAAAGTTACTAAATTTTCATTTGGTTATGAACCTGACTTGTGTTAGGAACTATGCATTCCTTTTAATCAAATGTTTGACATCAAATTTAATTCTCTCTTTCTCTTCTAGGTGAAGGAGCGAATATACCAAGGTAAATCTCTTCCCGTTGGTGTTTGGGAGGACTTTTAGGCAGGCTAGGAGCGACAGTGACTTTGGTGTCTGATTTGACTTACTAACTGCTCCACATTTTACTGTTGCTACTAACGTGGTAACATGGTATAGTGGGCAGGGTGGTGGTACTGGCTGAGGTAGGAGATGTGGAGGCAGGGGTGACTGCTTACTTGGAACAGACCGAGCGTGGCTGGACCACACAGGTGTGGCGAGAGGACAGTGTGTCTGTGCTAGGAACACCTCGGCCCCTATAGGTTTGTCGGCAGAGGAGCTCGAGAGACAGCAGTGTAGATCCGTAGCCTGAAGTTTCCGTTTCTCGTAGCAAATGACATTCATTTGAAGTGATCCCTTTTCAGAGAACAAGTGCCTTTTGTGAAAGGAGCCTCTCCAACTGTGTAACATTTTACTGTATCTCCTGCCTTTGCAGTAATTGATATCTCCTCAGAACAAGTGTTACTATAGTTTTCTTAAAGTTTAACAGTGTCCTGTGCACTGTTGCTGTTAGCTGCGGGTCTCTCTGGAAAGGCAGGTAGCTGTGCTAAGCCCTGTCTCTCACAGAGCCTCACAGGTGTCCTTGCTGCTGAGACACTGTGCAGCTCAGTTCCATTTAGTGCTCCTAGTAACCTGGCTTCTTCCTCTTTTTAGTCACTGAACAGCAGATTGCTGAGAAGGTGAAGACTACCACAAAGGACAATGCAGAACTTGCAGAAAAATTGTCAAGTTATGAACAGAAGGTAGAACCTCTCACCGGCCCTCCTCTAGCGTGTCTGTGGTGTAGCTCAGTTATTACGGTATTTTGAAGGCCTGTGTTCTCGCTTCATCATTTCCTCTGAGCCCTCCAGATCTTACACACCATCATGTGTAAAGCGAACGCTCTGTTCGCTTCTTTGGAACAAGGTTTTACTAGCACAGTTACTTCTGTTACTTAGTTCTGAATGTGTTTTTTACATAGATCAAGGAATCAAAGAGGCTTATTCAGGAGGCAAAGAAACAAAATATGATTTTCTCTGATGAAGCAATTAAATACAAGGTAAAAGTACTTCTCTTTTTGGGATTATAGTTTAAAAACAAAAGCAAGCATTAACACGTATTGTTACTTTTAATCTCTTTTCTTGTAGGATAAAATCAAGGTGTTTGAAAAAAGCAATGAATTGCTGGATGATAAGGCCAAAACTCTTCATGTTACGTTAGAATCTGAGAGGAAACGAAACATGGAAAATCAAGATTTGGTGAGTTCTGCTGCTGTGTGTTACTACAGGTGTATTTTTAGCTATTTTGTAAATTAGTTGAACTGTTCCCATGCTGTTAACTCCATAAGACTAGGAATAACAGAACTGAACATGCCTGGGATTTTGTGGGATTTTTTAGTACTAACCCAGTAGGATGTTTTTATAGGCATGGGAAGCATTTTGATCCTGAGTCTTAGATAATTTCATAGCTGTGTCCTCCAGAACACACAGAGTCACTAAGAAACTGGTCCAGTTGAGTGGTCTGTGTACACTGGTTTTATTTCACAGTAAACTCTGTACCTTTCGAATAGTCTGAAAATCCCCTAAGCGGAAATGTAGTGAGGAGAGTTCTCATGCTTCCCGCCTCCTGTGTGGCCTGGTCCTTTGCTCAGCACAGACCTGGTGAATTGCCCATTTTCAGTCCTTTTTGCACCATGCTCTTTGGCAGGAAGTTATTATACACAACCTGCAGTTAAAAGACCTGCAGTTAAAAGAACGGTGGGTTAGGGTCACCCCTTGAGCCAGTATTGTCATAAATATTGAGAAATTTGGCAAATGAGACTTTTCTATTCCCCCGGAAACACTTTTTTTCTGTTTTGTTTTGTTTTTGTCTTTTTGAGACTGGGTTTTGTTATGCAGTTCAGGCTGGCTGTGAACTCACTTTGTAGCCTAGGCTGGCCTTAAACTCTCCTCTCCTGCCTCAGCCTCTTGAGTGCTGGGATTACAGGCGTCCACCATACCCAGCATTCTTACCATTTTTAATTCAGACAAGAACATGTTTAAAGTGATCTTGGAGCTTTTTTTTTGTGTTTTTTTTTTTTTTTTTGTTTTGTTTTTTTTTGGTGCCAGGGGTTGAACTCATGACCCCGCGCTTGGCGGGCAGGCACTTATGCTGCTGAGCTAAATCTCCAGCCCTTTTGGGGTTGTTTTCCTGCCACCAGAAAAAGCTGTTCATCTTCCGTGGTTTGCTTGAACATTTCTTTATGCTATGTTGCGTGGTCACCCTGCAGCTTGAGGGTGCCATAAAACTCTTGACTTCAGTTTTTTCTGTCAGCTCTTTTAAGCTGATTTTTCCCCCCAGACCACATTTAATCTCGATTTTACCTAAAACATAGTGGGTAGTTTGGGGTACATTGTAGTAATGTTTTTGTTCTTTAGCATATGTATCAGTGTTTCTCCCACAGTGCTAATGTGTTCTGTGTGTTCCTTGCTTCTGTGGCAGATACTGGAAAATGAGAAATCTATGGAGAAGCTAAAGGAGGTTATTTCAATGAATGCCTCAGAATTTTCCGAGGTAAGGCTGCCCACACTCCCTGCCGGTGTCAGTGTTGCGACTCAGCTGCATCGAGCAGTGGTGACCTGACGAGTGCTGAGAGCCGTGAAAGGCAGAGGCCATGCATGATTAACGTGTAGGCTGGGGGCCCCTCACTGGCACGGCTCATGAACTGTCGTGTTCTGCATTAGGTTCAGGTCGCCCTGAATGAAGCCAAGTTGCGTGAGGAGAAGGTGAAGTCTGAGTGCCACCAGGTTCAGGAAGAAAACACAAGGCTGAAGAAGAAGAAAATGCAGGTAACTGTCTGGTCAGAGTGGGTGCAAAACCAGTGACTTTAGCGCTGTCATCTTTTCTCATGAGGAGCTGCTTATGCAGGCCCCTGCAGCAAGCTGTCCTCCCCAGCTTGCACATTATTGAGGGCACAGGTGCCTTTTGTGTCACTCGTGGATTTTCGGTTCTGTACATTGATGGCAGTTCTTGGCGCTTGTCTTGTTAGACACCGGTCATTAGTTTGGCCTCAGCAAGGCCAGGGGTTGGCTTTTTCAACCTCAGATTTAAGGCTTTACTAAGCCGCCTCTAACAGTTACTGCCTCACATTGTCCATAGGAAGGTTAGATCAGGGATCTGTGATCAACACACACACAATGAGGCCAGAAATCCCACGGCTAGCTGCCGGCAGCTCCCATTTGAATGGGTTATGTTCCTCCTAGGGTGACACACAGGATAGTCCCATTAGGTGGTATGGACAGTCCTGCATGCCCTGCAGCAGTTCCTGCCAGTGGGAATTAAGCCCCTGCAATACATGCCCACGTGTGCCATCTGGAAATCAGGCATTTGAATCAGCAGGCATTTTTCAGAAGGACTTGATGGATGGGGTCAGCTTCCTTGACAGCTCAGGGTGGAAGCCACGCTCTGCGGTTCTGAACCAAGTCTTAGCCTCTGCGATGGGACAAGGAGGGACACGACTCCGGCTTCCCCATCCCACTTGCATGGTCCTGTGCCTCTGTGGAATCCCCAGTCCACAGGGACCCTTGCATGTGACTTTCAGCTACAGCAGGAAGTTGAAGACCAGAAGAAGTTGCATGCTGAACTCAGCGAGCGAATCAGGACCTTGGAGAAGTCTCAGAGGGATCTGGAAGCCACTCTTGCTGATAAGGATGATAACATCGGTGTAAGTTACCCCGGCTGACCCAGCCTGTTCATGAACACTCAGGAAACAAACCCACTGTGAGGATGGAGAGGCTCTTAACTGCCGCTCGCTTCTCTGCTAGGCTCTGGCCAACTGCATCATGCAGCTGAATCAGTTGGAGAGTGGAACAGAATCTGAGGGTCCAGGTCCAGGCAGATGTGAGCCAGGTGAATTAGCCAATGGAGAGGTGGGAGGTAAGACTGGCCCTAGCCCAAGGGCCCTTTTTTTTTTAAACCAGGGATCAAACTCATGACCATGCACTCAACAGGCAGGTGCTTGTGCCACTGAGCTAAATCCCCAGCCCTTCAAGGGCCTTTTTTGTGTTCTTCTCTTTATTGTTATTTTAGACAAGGTCTCTATGTAATGACTGGCCTTGAACTCACTGTGTAGCCCACACTGCCCTCAAATCCACAGCAAATCTTCTATCTCAGTCTCCTAAGCATTTTTGTCTTTAATTCCATACATGGATGCTGCTTCTCAGCTGAGTTTCTTCTTGCCCCAACAGACCCATTCAGCTCTTTAGGTTCTTATTGTGAAGGACCACAAGAGGATGAGAAAATAGACAGACAAATCTGGGGTCAGGTGGAGCCCTTACCCTCCTGATGGGAAGAAAGGAACTGGCCCCTCACTGCAGGGGCGTTTATTTATACCTTTTAGCACCTTAATGTCATGTGACACCCTGTTGTCCTAGCAGCCCACTGTTCAGATTGTCTTGGGGCTTGGTCATCTCTGGGCTGAGGCAGCTTCTTCACATGGCAGCCCCAGGGGCTCTTTGTTCTTAGGCCAGCCATGCCCTGGCCCTGCACGTGTGGTCAGTTTGCAGCTTCATCTGAATAATTCGTACTTATGCCTGGGTCACTGGGGTGCAGTAGCAGCAGGCAAGTGGGGAAAGCTGCTTTTCCACCCCTTGAGAACCGAATTTGTACGCTGGAGCCTTTGCCTTTGTGTTGGCCTCTGTGCCAGAGAAGAAACTTTCTCAGCTTCCTGGAGATGACACTCGGGTCCGCACTCACGGCCTCTGCTGTTCTGCTGTTCTCAGGCCCTTGGCCAGGGTCACCTAGAGTGTGGGGATGGGGGAGCCAGAGCCCAGGCTGTGAGGGCAGAGGCTGGAGAGCAGCAGGGTCTGAGATGAGGAAAGTGGTCAGGGTGCCGCCCCAGCTGCAGAGGGTGCTCAGGGTGCGAGTCTGGACCCACGCCGGCCAGCTCCCCTTAGACCATCATGTGGCAGAGCTAGGCTTGCTCAGCCACAGCCCAGGTGGCATGTTGTCTTGACAGGAACTCACAAAATCTAAGTGTGCAGTTGTCTTAAAAGTCAGTTTGTCAGTTCTGTTGGTGGATTGTTTTTCTTTACAGTGTTTGATGAGCATCAGTTTAGTTTTGTGGAAGTCAAGACAACAGTGTTAGAAACGGCACAGGAAGACACAGCCACACTTGTTCTCTTTGTAGGTGAGGAGAGTAAGCTGAAGACTCGCATGCACCAGCTGATGGATGTCTCCCGGGTGAGTCCCTTCACAGAGCCCACCAGGGGCCCATGAGTCCTGACTGTGCCTCACTTTCAAGCCAGTGCCTCTCCCTCACAATTTTCAGACACGTACCGCAATATCCGTGCTTCAGAAGGATCTCAAACTGCTGCAAGTGAAACTGAGAGCCTCCCTGTCTGCCAAATGTGACCTGGAAGGTAAATCCCTGGCCACATGGTGGTCAGGCTGAGTGCCGGCATGAATGAGGCAGGGGTGCTGGGAGCCTGGTTCTGTGTCTTTGGCGGTGCCCTTGGTGATGTGTCTCACCTCCCAGACCAGGTCAAGAAGCTGGATGAGGACTGTGGCACATTGCAGGCAGCCAAGGCCGGGCTGGAGGAGGAGTGTAGGACGCTGCAGCAGAAGGTGGAGATCCTGAACGAGCTGTACCAGCAGAAGGAGATGGAGCTGCAGAAGTGAGTCCCAGAGATTTTGCCCAGTGTCTCATGCTGGCCATTCCTGTCACTTCTGATTGCCTAGCAGCTTCGATGTGCAGTGATCATAGAGGAAACTAGGGGCCCAGGGTGCTGCTGGTTTCCTGTGATGGCGACCTGAGGCTGATCCTGCCTGTCCGCCGTCACCATCATCCAGCTAGCAGTTGGGCCCAGCGTCCCTGCCTCTGTAGCCCCAGCTCCACTGCTTGTTTCTTAAAGCCTAGGGATTTGTCGAGGGCTCAGTTCAGCATCTTTGGCATTGTCCTCAATGTGTGGGTTGAAGGAGGGCAGCACTGGCCTCTGGGGCCCACATTTCGCTTTCTGGCTGGGGCCAAGGCTCCCGTCCACCCATTCGGCCTTGCTTGTGTGCTTATCATGGCCTAGGTCTAGAGGAACAGCTCTTCCCAGACAGCATGGGGGAAGGGGGGGGTAGACTCCGCCTATTGCTTTCCCAGCAGCTCTGCTGGACAATCCTGGCTTCCCTCGGGGTACACTCATCTCCCACACGGGCAGCTAGAGCCTGGCGCGTGCTGTGCTCTTAGATTGTTCTGTTTGCTGATTAGACAATTACAAGGAGAGGTGAGAGAATATAAGAACACAAGCAAATGGCCCAGAGCCTGGAGCTTGACTTCCCTCCTGAGACCCTGTGCCTGCTGCTGGGTGGGGAAGTGGCCTGTGGGCCGAGCTCGCCCCTGGCAGCTGCCATTCTCCTAGGAAGTTGAGCCAGGAGGAATTTGAACAGCAGCAGCGAGACCAGCGGCTGTCGGCTGCGGATGAGAAGGTGGTGCTGGCCACAGAGGAAGTGAAAGTCTACAAGTGAGTGTGGCGTCCGAGACAGAGGAACTGGGCTGAGTTGCTTCGTTACATAGAAGAGATGGGCACAGAAGCATGAGCAGTCCCAGAATGGAATGTGTTTAACTCACACGGGGAGGGGTTCTACATTAACAGACAGAAGCTTGTTAACTGCGAAGCTCCTTTGCAGATGTGTTATGTGCCCATTTTTAGGAAAGCGGCCTGCTTCTGTCACACGTCTACACCCACCAGAGTCTAGGTGCCCCGACAGACCAGGGGCAGCATTTTGGGTCATTTCTTGTGGCTATAACTTGAGGGGAAAAACTTTTTTTTTTATCGGTAACGGGGATCAAACTCATGACCGCCTGCTTGCAAGGCAGGTGCTTATGCCACTGAGCTGAATCCCCAGCCCCTGAGGGGAAAACCTTTATGGGGAAGGTACCCTTAACCAGATTATTTTGAGAATGTTATTGCAAGGACAGTTAAGGAAATTTACAAGTTGTCAACTCATAATCTCTAGGCATTAATGAAAAATCAGGAAACTGAGGCTCACACTGCACTCATCAGGTTATGAAATGTTTCTGTATGATTAAGTCTTTAAAGGCAGACATGGTTAGATTGTTTCAGAATTTATTTGGTTCTAACTGCTAAGTATTATTTTTAGGCGGAGAATTCATGAAATGGAGGAAGAATTACAGAAAACAGAGCGCTCATTTAAAAACCAGGTAAGGAATAGAGTGCGCTGTGGTGACAGCATCCGTTAATCCCCCACACAGACCTCATGGAGGGCTGCGGCTGCGGTGATGGCGTCCCTCAACCTGCACTTTGCCGTGTTCTCTTGCAGCTTGCTACTCATGAGAAAAAAGCCCATGAGAACTGGGTAAGAGCCTCCTCCTCGCCTCGCCCTCTCCAGCTTCACTCAGCCACTGTGCTGAGCTGGCCCCTCTGTCTCCACAGCTCAAAGCCCACCATACGGAGCGCCTGATTGCAGAGCAGAAGCGGCAGGCCCTCAGCTTGTGGCACAGGTGAGCCATGCATGGCGCGACGTGCGGCGCCCACATTTCAGCCCCTGGGGGTGGCTATGTCACCCCAGCCCCACTCTGCATGCAGGCTGGTGGAGATGACCCAGAAGCTGGCCATGCTTCAAGAGGAGCCTGTGATCATCAAGCCGATGCCAGACCGGCCAGGAGTGCAGAACGCGCCCCGCAGAGGTGGGCGCTCTGTCCTTCTGAATGGACTCGGGGAACTTAGCCACTGCAGAGAAGTGGTAACCAGCGAGCATTGTCGCCACAGATCCCTTGAGCCAGAACAGCTCCTTTGGCCCGTCCCCTGTGAGCCACAATGAGTGCTCCCTGCCTGGGTGCTCCCGGCCCCCAGGCGCAGAGCCCCCCGGACAGCCCCCTTCTGCGAGCCTGAACTTCGCACGCGGCAACATCCCAAGAGCCGACTTCGGTGAGCCTCTCGGGGCCTGCCCTGGGCACGGTTCCCTGAACTCTGGTACAGAGCCCGGGCACTCCGGGCTCGGGTTTTCACTTAGCCCTGGGCCGTGTGCGGCCCACCCTGATTGCAGCACAGGAGCGGGGTCCTGGGAGCCAGCGCCCACCCCGGCACTCCCAGCCGCCTCTGGCTGTGGCGTGGCGGAGGCTGCGGTGTCGCCCTCTCCCTCTCTGCACAGTGTTCAACATGTGCGCGCACTTTGTTCATCCCCTACCTCCGGACGGGCTGCTCCGGAGCTCTGTGGTTCCCCGTGTTGCTGGTTCCATGTGCTGCTGCCGAAGCTGCTGGGTGTGGGCTCCATCTTCCGAGTCCCTGTTTTCCTTCTCCACAGCCTGAGACCGAAAGCCGCCTCCACCTCCGGCTGGGCTGCCGTGGCACAGCAAAGCGCTGGCCGGGTTGAGCCCGTGCAGGCGCAGAGGCCACCTTGGCCCCCTTGATGCCAGCGGTGCCTGGCTCCCGTAAGGCTTCCGTGGCCTTGCGCCTCCCACGGGCCTTGCAGCTGCCTGTCGGAGCCCGCAGAGCCTCTGCTCCCTCCAGGGCAGGTGGGCGGGGCTCTGCCGTGTCCCGAGGGCACTTCCCATCCTCCTCCTCGTCCTGGGAGAGTCCTCTGAGTGCCTTCTCTGCCCCCAGATCCCGGCCCTGGCCCTGGCCCCGTGGCCAACAGCAGCTCCCGCGGCTCCTCCCCAGCGAAGGACATGGACGACGGCAAGGTGAGCCTGGGCTTGTGCTTGCGCCCGCGCTGCTCCATGCACCCTCGGTTTCCCCTCTATTCTCCAGCTGGCCTGTGCGTGGCGACCTCCGCTGACTTGGTCACCATCTAACTTGGGCCTTCGCTATAGGCTACAGCCTGGCCGCGTGCTATGGCCTGGGGCAGAGCGCCTCACACCCGTGCCTTGAGTCTTTTTTGTTTTTTGGTTTTTTTTGTATTTTGTATTTTCACGGGTACCAGGGATCAAACTCACAATCACAGGCTTGCAAGGCAGGCCCTTATGCCACTGAGCTAAATCCTCAGGTTTCCTTATGCAGCTCAAGCTGGCCTTGACCTCCCAGTACCCAGAGCCAACCCGCAGTTTCGTAGCGGTCCTCCCGCCTCAGCCTCCCTAGTGCGGGATGACCGATGTGCCACACTCGCTTATTCTTGTTTTTTGGGAGCAGCAATGAGGGTCCTCAGGGTCTGTGCTAGGCAAACCCCTTGCAGTGATCAGAATGAGGTGGGTGTCAGCTCTGCCTGGAGTGGGACTCTGGTTCCAGGGACCCGTGAATCCAGCCCCCAGGTGGTCCAGGCTGCTGTGCCTCCTGGTCCTGAGGCTGCTGCCTCGGCAGCCTTCGCACTGCATGGGACCGCCTGCGATGGTCAGAGCTCCCTGGCCTGCCTTCTGATCAGCCCAGGCACAGGCGTCTCCGCCAGCCCCTCCCTGTGCAGTGCAGTGTCCCTGGCTGAGGCAGCTCCCTGTTCTCCCCAGGGACCCCCGGACCCCGGGAGCCCTTGTGTCGCCCCTGTCGTGCCCAGGGCCACGCTCGTGCTGGCAGGAGTGCAGCAAGCTGGCGCAGCATCCCGCTGGCACCTCCGGAACTCATCTCTCCGCACGCGAGTGGGGACAGCGTGGTGGCCATGCTCGCTGCGTGGTGTGCTGCTCACCTGGGGGCCAGCAGGGTCCGGGGATACCCTTGACTCCTCTCGGGATGGGCACCCGGTGTCACTGCCGAGCTCGGAACTGGGCCTGCTTCTGTTTGCAGGTGAGCATGGCCGCGAAGGGGCCCCCAGCCTATCCAGGGCCCCCGTTCCTGGGAGGCCCCATGCCGCCCCTCGTGGGCTATGGGCCGTCGCCGCCACCACCACTCTGCAGGCCCTTCAGGCCTCGGCCGATGCCTCCTAGGCCACCGCCACCATTCGGTACGGTAGGACACTTGGGCTGGCACCACAGCCTACCCTGTCCTGTCCTCTCCTGTCCTGCTCGGCAGCTGCCGCCCTCCAGACGCCCAGCACTCTGAGCCCAGTGCAGCCTCCACAGCTGCTTGGACCAGAGGGCCCTTCCCGCAGAGCCGAAGTGCCAGTCCCACCGGGGTGGTCACCTGGGCCGCCATGGGCGTGTGGCATTGGGAGAAGGGAGGGTCAGGCTGTGGTTGAGCCATACTGAGCCTCAGTTTTCCTTATCTGTGAAGTCCAGTGCATCACTCGGCTTCCTGGCTCAGGGGAAGGGAAACGCTTTGAGCAGACCTGGGCTGCTCCTCAGGATGTGTCCGCATGTCCCTCTTGCTTTCCAGTCCCTTGCATGGGCCCACCACTGGGCTTAAGAGAGTACGCGCCTGGCATCCTGCCCAGACGCCGCGACCTGCCGCTGCACCCCCGCGAGTTCTTGCCAGGACCTGTGCCATTCAGGCCTCCAGGCCCGCTGGGCCCCCGAGAGTATTTCATTCCTGCTCCTCGAATGCCACCACCACCCTCTGGGCCCCAGGACTACACACCGCCGCCTGCCACAGAGGAGCCCCAGCTCTCAGGGCCCAGAGAGGCCCCAGCCTCGTCGACAAGCAGCCAGGAACCTGCCCAGGCTCTGAGGCAGAGCCCTTAATGGCCCCACTACTCAGAGGGCCAAGGTTTTTATTGGCTTTGGAGTTCATTTTAAAAGGAAGTTCATTTTAAAAGGTTTTTAGTACTAAGCTCCCTTGAGCAGTGCACATTTTTGAGCCAAACAATTCAGAAGACTCATCTTCCTCTCTAAAAATTGCCTCTTAAGCTCGAGTGACCTTCCAACTGAAATGTGCAATAACGATCCCTGTGTTTTAGTTAATATAGCATAGGTCAGTGTAAAATGATTCAGAATGTCATCAAAATGACTATTTCCTGTGGAAATGCTCTAAGAAACGTATTTCCGTGACCGATGTTTTACTGTATCAGCTGAATACAGAGTAGTGGTATTTATAAGCTTTACCCCTCCTGCCCCATCCTGGTTGAAAAGACTGTTACTTAAAGATAAAAGATGTTTATTCAAAGATCACCCCTTATCCCCTCCCGCTCTGCTGATGTCCTTTGTAGTAATAGCTAATAAAAACTTGTTTGTTAATACTCCCAGCCTCCACTGGCTCATTGCTTGCTGTGAGAGCTGTTGGAACTCTGGCTCCCTGGACTGGAGGTGCCGCGCTTGCAGGCTGCGTCACTCCGGGGGAAGCCCGTGACCCCTGACCCCACCGGTGACTGCTGGGCGCAAGAGTGAGAATTTACAGTAGAAACAACGATCGTTTGACCTCAGGCTCTATTATTTTCCTTTTACTGTGATTGCATTAAGGAATATAACAAAGTTGTGTCATGATTGTAAAAGTAAATTTCTTTATAAAATGCGTGTCTTCTCTTTCTCATATCCTACAACTGACTTTCAAGGAACAGGAACCAAAAAATGGGAAGAATATAATAACATAACCTGAGAAAAAGTGATTGAGGAGCATGAGGCTTCTACCCTGCTTGCGGTCAGCTGCGCAGCTGCGGGCTGAGCTCCATTCTGCCCTGGCAGGTCCTGCCCCGAGGTTGTCAGCATCAACCCCTGACGTCTCCGAAGCTGCAGGTGAGCCTGCCACACCATTCGGGGACCTGTCACTACACTGCACAATTCTGAGGCTTCACTCTGCAAACACTAAGCACAGTAATTTTTTTCCTTTTTATCGGTACCGGGGATCGAACTCATGACTGCCTGCTTGCAAGGCAGGCGTTTAAGGCATTTATAGTACAGTAATTTTTTTTTAACTTTTTTTTTTCTTTTTTATCGGTACTGAGGATCAAACCCACGACTGCCTGCTTGCAAGGCAGGCGCTTATGCCACCGAGCTAAATCCCCAGCCCCAGCACAGTAATTTTTAAAAGAGCTTTCTGAATCAGTTTTATTGGTTTTCTGACCTAAGAGCAAGCCTAGAAAATAAACTTACAACTAATCAGATAGTGAGCTGATTCCAAACTTAGGCTATAAGATGCTCAAAGCCTTGCTTCTGAGCTATAAAACAATATACTAAAGAGAAAAAGAAAAAAAAAACACTAAATACTGCTTTTACTTTTTGCTTCAGAGACTTATTTTCATGTCAAAAGGGAAGGGTGAGAATCTTTCCATCTGATCTCTAATGATAGGAGGCTTTTTTTTTTTTTTTTTTTTGGTACCGGGGACCAAACTCTCAACCTCCTGCTTGCCAGGCAGGAGCTTATACACTGAGCTAAATCCCCTGCCCAGGAGGCGCTTTTTGTAAACAAAAGAAATTTATGTTTGTTTGAAACTCACAGTGAACCCTCCACCTGCACAAGGTGTTATTGGTCTGTCTGGTTCCCCAGTGGCACTTGATGGGGATGCCGGGTGTGGGGAACCAAGGTCTCCAATGTTTCTCCTGCTGTTGGTTTTTCCGAGAGTTTAGAGATCTAAGCTGGATGTGGTGGCACACACCTGTAATCCCAGCTCAGGAAGCAGGCAGGAGTGAGTTCAAGGCCAGCCTGTGCTACCACACTGAGTCTACACCAGTATAAACTATATAATGACACACTATCTCAAAAAAAAAACATTTCTGATCCAAAACGCTTGTGGAGCACAGTAGTGTAAACCGTACATTTAATGTTAAGCTTAGGCTCCAGGGGAAGCTGGGATTATACAAGGCTCCTTGAGCTTTGGTTTACTGGGACACTCTCCTTTCCCTTCCTTCATTTGGGGATGACCTCGGGGAGCCCAGAGCCCACCTCACAGCTGTCTCTCTGTGATACAGACCTCTACCTCATGTACACACACACACACACACACATACATTCACACTGCCTGAGATAGTACTTGGAAAGGTGAGGCCCCTGAAGTCAGGAAGACTCAGCTCGAAGGTGACGAAGGAATCCTTCAGGAAAAGAACGCCATCCACCAGCCTCCATCTCAATTGATGTCAAGAGAACATGGACGCCAGCAGCACCGGTGACTGTCTTCAACCCAAGCACAGTGGCACAGAATCACCAATGTGCCCTCTGAATGTGATCTGTCAACCTCTTCAGGACACAGAAGTCCACTTCCACTTCTAGATAGCCTGTACAGTGTGCGACCGGGAAGCAGGCCCGGAAATTTTTTTTCAAAACGTATCACTTGGGGTAAATCTACATTTTTATTCGGAATTACCCTCCTATGCAAAGCCCTATGGATACTTCACACTGCTTCCCTCTGGCAGCCAGCTCTGGAGGCTTCAGAAGGTTCAGCAGTCAGCGCCAGCCTGTTCTATAGCCACCTTCACCCACTGCGCCCCCATGTGGCCAAGGATGCCAGGGTAGGCAAAGCCCAGCGGGCCAAGCAACCCACCCTCAGCAGCGCCTCCTCAGGACCTGGGAATTCAGTTCCTGGCTGCTCCTGGGATTCCCTGCTACCATGCCTAGCTGAGGGTGCACCCTGGGCTGGCTGCCCCTGCTGGAGTGCCAGTTCTGGTTCCCGGTGGTGCATGCTCACCATTGGCCATCTCGTTGTCTGCTGAGCACATGCTGCCCTCGCCCCACCCTGCATGTTCAACTGTGCAGGAACCAGCCCTGCCCTGCACTGTGCCTTGCAGCCCACAATGAAGGAGCATGAGACGGCCATTGGGCTACATTTTAATAGTGGGTTTCCAAGGTTACGTTTTTAGGTCTCAGCAACATCAAACCAAAGGAAGTGAGGACCCCACAGGGCAGAGACTGCGCCACGTTCCTCAGAGGGCTGTGTGGAGACAACAGGGATGCCTCTGGCCCCACCCCGAGGAGCCCACAGCCTGTGGATCGGACACTTGAGAGTTTAAGAACTGAGTGGAAAAAATCAACTTATTAAGGCCAGTTGTTCATGCCCTGGAGGTACTGTGGACTGAATCACTGTGGTGGTTGCCTTTTATCCAGGCAAGATGAAACGCAAGGCTGAAGTGGGCTAAGAATTCTTTCATGCCCTTCCATTTGGTCAGCACCCACCCAGTGAGTGGAGGTGGCCACATGGACACCAGAATGGAGCAGAGCTCTGAGGCAGATGGGCCACGGTCACCTCAGTCGGAGGCAAACACGCTGAACGGTGTGACCAGGGCCCCGACACCAGCATAAAACAGGCAGGAACCACAACTGCACCCTTACAAACCATGGGTTTAAAATAGTGAATATCAAAATCTCAATGTTGTGTGTCTAGTATTACCCTCATGTGTGCTATGCAAGCTTCATTTATGCCTCTTAAAAGTAATGTGAACTGTCAAAACTGAAAAACTGCTGACCTATGCATTTTCATATGGATAAATGCCAGTATATCTAAACAGGAGATCAATGGCAATCCTAGCTATTGATATTAAAAAAAATTAAAACGTCTGCTGATTTTCCATACTCATCACTAAGAAAAGGTATGCAGGTTTGATGTTTCACAATCACTTGTCAGATAAGCAGCATTTATTCCTGCAGTATTTCATTTGTACTAGACACAGTTATTTTCAGATGACATCACTTAAGACACTGTAAACCCATCTAAAAAGGTGTGTTTATTCTGAGATGCTTCCAATGTTAACTCTAAAATCATCAGAAAAAATAACAATGTGATGTAAAACAGGTGATCAACACGATTAAAATATGTCATTTTCAGAAAAATAATCTGGTTCTCTGGGAAAAGAAATCACAGCCACCACTTGGGGACACTGATCTGGGCAAGGCACGCTATTCCATACAGGACGTCAGAGCCGGAAGTCCAGCAGCCCGTCCCACTGGGGGGGGGTGCACTCTACACAGCCCGGCCCCAGGGAGCAGGTGTGTAAACTCAAGCACATTCTTGTTGCTGTGTGGGGTCTGAAGATGAGCACGCCTCCCACAGCTCACTGTTCTGGGAAGCCGGGTAGGATCCGAGGCGAATTATAAAACAGACTATGGATCACATAATCAACAGAGAAGAGCATGGTCCGGCACCTACAGTAAGCCTAGGTCCAAAGGAGACTTGCTCTGCACCACGCCAGACTCGGTTCCAAACTGCGGCCATGCCAGGTACTCACTGGCCTGCTGGGTGGGCACAGCCCACTTCCTGCCCAAGAGAGTGAAGATCCTACAGAGCTGTGGCGCTTGCTACTGGCTGGTAAGATTCACAGGAGTTCCAGGGTACTCAGGTGAGGATCAGTCCTTGTGCAAAGTTTGATGCAGGTGAAGATAAAGTGGTTTCTTGGTCAATAACTGTAATTTTTTTCTTTTAAAGTCAGTGGGTTTCTTGTAGCTATAACCACAAAAGAGAGCATTGTTTAGAATACGTGGTGACTGATCTGCAAGATATCCAACAGGGAAGCAGGGCTGGGAGGACACCTGAGAGCAGCGCTCAGCCATCCACACGCCACTTACAGTTCAATTACAATCGGCCCGGGTTTGATCTCATCCATCTCCATGAAGGCGAAGCACTTGGTGCTGGTGAACCTCTTCTTGGGCTTGTAGTGCTTGAATTCAAAGAAGACGGCTGTACCTGAGGGGTGAAACACACAAGCTGGTGAACCATGGCCCGCTTGTCCTCCTGGATCCAAGCATTCTCACTTACCACCGCAGGGAACAGAGGGACAGGCAGGATTTGACAAAGTGACCTGTGTCCAGTGTGGTGTGGTGTGGCCTAGTGTGGCAGCCCCAAACTGCTGGGTCCAAGCGCCGCTTCTGATCGCATTACCTCGCTGTACAAGCACAGCACAGGTCTCTGAGCCAGGCTGACCCGAGGTCAGTTACTTGCGTAAGTGTGGTCACTGAGTACAGACATCAAATACAAAAAGAGGAACGCAAAGGTGTCACAGCTCAGCAGAGCCCAAAGCACTGTGTACTGCATGCAACTGGCATTCGAGAGTTTCTTACACTGAAGCATCTCTTTCCCCTCAAACAAAAATCTCCAAATTCAGTATTTTTGAGGCTGGGATTTGAACTGTTTATCCTGTTCTAATTTTTCCAAGTAAACATGAGGGTGGCTGGCAGCAGCACTGCACTCTAGTGAACACTGAACACGGAAACGTAATCTGGGCGCTTCAGAAACGTGTGCTGTCTTCACCCAGCTTCCCAACAATGACCTTCTAGGGCCAGCAGCCCCAGGACAGGCCAGTGAGCCCGGGGGGACCTGCAGAAGTGCCCTCTGCCCCGCTGTCAATGTGAGGAGACCTCCCACTCTGCTGCAGAAGGCAATGAAATCTCACATCAAAGAGCATTTCCAGGGCGACTGTACAACTGGATCACGTGATTCCTAGTTCCCACATTTTTACAAAGTACTGACAGATTCAATTTTCTCAAGCCAGTGTCTCCCGACACCCAGGGGACACAGATGGGTCAGGCATACACTGTGCTCATACACCAGGGTGTGACAGCTGGCCAAAATCCCGCATCCCACACATACCTTTGGTCAGCTTCTCCACATGCTTCTGCAGCTCGATGTCCACTTTGAAATGGACATATGTGTCCTCCTTTCTTGAAGCCACAGGTGTGTCCTGCACAGGCGTCAAATTTATTCCGTTCAGATCTAGAGAGAAACAGGTTTCTATGTTGGGACGCTTGCAGGCACACACTGAGGAGTGTCAAGAAACCACAGAGGCCTGCAGGGGCTCCTGGAGAACAGACTCCCACTTGCTGCTGGTGTGCAGGAAACTGCATGGGTCAGGGCAGGAGACTTCTGGAGTAGGGAGCACGCCCTGGCTGGCCCGATGAGTGTAGAGCAGGAGGCAGACACAGCACGGTCTGCATGGTTAAGAGCTGATGCCCCTACAGGACAGACCCCCACTTCTGGTGCAACAAAAACCTGCAGTGCACATGATTTGTGAAAATGTAGCTCTGGCCCTAATTTCTAATATTGATCACGTGCATGACTTGGAAAGAGCTTTAAATTAACAATTTCAGAATTTCCTTGTTATATTTAAGTCAAGAACCAAAAATGGACATGAGACCTCCAGCAGAATCTTTCATCAATAAGTAAAATGTCATGGCCAGGCGTGGTGGCTCACGCCTGTAATCCCAGCACTCAGGAGGCTGAGGCAGGAGGATCATTGTGAGTTCGAGACCAGTCTAGAGTATAAAGTGAGCTCAAGGCCATCCTGAACTGCATAGAGAGACCCTGTCTCAAAAAGACAAAAAAAAAAAAAAAAAAAAAAAAAAAGACAAAAAAAAAGTCACGTACACCACCGAAGTTCTGGTTACAGTTACCATGTAACTGGTAGAAGAAGGACACTAACTCATCGTGTAGGTTGTAATGTCCAGGATCAGGAATCCCAGTTAATCAATATACGGTCTCCCTTCAAGACTGCTCGGTGTTCATATACCGTTCGGTGTTCATATACTGTTCGTTACATAGGTGTCTCAGGGCACTTAAGTTAGCCCAATGGCCTATTTCCGCCCTTCCAGGCATGGCCCAGTTCAGCAGCTGGGCAAAAGCAGCTCAGCATGCACTGCGTCACCATGAAGTGCTCCTGTGTACTATAGCACACATTTCCAACTGAGTTACACGGCTCTGCCAACAGCCAGCAGAGAGCATGGAGCCGAGCACCTCCTGTAGTGTCGTCTTAGCCAAGAGGCAATGCCAGAAGTCAGCATCGCAGCACAGTGCAGTCACGTTTGCTCTATGGCTGAACTCCTTTTTCTCTTATGGGTCTGCGCTTATTTCTAGGACTGAAAAAAGTTCTCTCCAGTTAACTCCAGCCGCGATGTTTCCTGATTTGCCTCCAAATACAGAATAAAGTAACACACTTGCATTGCGCAGTTATTTCTGGATAATGGAATGACTTGTTTTGTGTTTTTAAATTTTAGCTCAGGTTTCACTGTCTTTCCTAGGCCAGTCTCAAACCCCTGGGCTCAAGTAATCCTGCTGCTTTAGCTGCCTGAGCAGTTGGGATTACAGACCCGGCAACCAGTAACTATTTTTTTTAAAAACTTCAGTGATGTACAAATATGTTCAGCAGCAACAAAAGAGTGTAAGCGCTGGCCTCTCTCTTCTGGGATAAGTGCACTGCTGCACCAGAGAGGGTGAGGGCAAGTACCAAGCAGATGCCCGTCACCTCCTCAGTACGGCAGTGGTGCCCAGGGCCCACGTGGCCTGGATGCTGCTGGGCTGCACCTGCTTAGCTGTCCTCACTAATGATGCCCTGAAGGCCTGGTGCTCCCATGGGCCTGGGGTCAGAAGCCTCAGGAACAGGAGGCTGGGAAGACAGAGCACAGGGCTCAGCCAAGGAGGTAAGGGCTTGACAACCTTCACAGGGCAGAAGCCCTTGGTGGGGAGACTGTGTGGTTCTGGTCAGCACCCCAGAGTCAGAAGAACAGCAAGACAAGCTAGAGGCTGGGGCGGGGAGATGGGGGACAGGGAGAGAATGGAGCCTTGTCACACACACACACAGACCAACTCCTGGCAAGGAAGGGAGCTGCCGCATACCGCAGACAGGGCTCATGAAAGCGTGCATGCCAAAGAAAAGGCTGTCACAGTAAATCTGAAGAGAACAAAAGACAGACAATCTCCAAAGCAAGGGTGCCAGTTACAAAAAAGGAAAAGGAAACTCTTTTCAGTAAACGCGTCAGAATGGTTAGTGATGGAGCGATATTTCTTGCAGAAATTCTGCCTCATTGTGAAGTGAATTAAAATGAGTTGTCATAGATTCAACACATGCCTCAAAAAAGTGCGGTACGTTAGGAATAATGTGAGAGGGAAAACCCAACTCGTTACCCTTTACGCTGACTGTAATGTAAGGATCGATGCACTGCCCGGCGTCCTTCAGGCCAATCTTCTCGATTCTGATGGTGAGCAGTGTCATGCCCGGCTCTGAGGGCAGCCGTGGTAATAAAGTACCTGGCAACAAGGAAGCCCCAGTAAAAGCCAGCTCTGTCAACAGTTTCACAGTAAATACTGTCAGCAAACATGGAAATATTCTACCTGCTCTCAAACCGTAACCAGGCAAGCACAATGCAGTCTGGCCTGCAAGCCTCCTGCACGCTGCTCTTTACAGATGTATTTTGTACACAACAGTGACGTACACTTCCACATCTCATCACCCTAAAGTAGGCATTAATTCAAGTTCAATCAAGGAAAAGTCAGGCTACCACTACCTACTTCCGGTAGGTCAAGGAAGCCAGTTATAAATAACCACAGAATAGCTATGGTGTCCTTGTACCTGTGGACATGCGACAGGCTTTACATCTCAGCATTTGGTAGGGTCAGGAAGATGCTTTTTAAATAGTTTGCTGTCCTGCAGTCTCAGAGATTCAGTCAGATCAACACATCCTTTAGTTGCTGTGATAAAGAGCGTCATTTGAAGTTTACCAGTTATATTTAGTTAGGCCTTTTCAGTCTATTTGTCTTCTCTTTGTCCTGTTCTGTCAGACGAAACTCACATTGCCACAGAGAATGTCACACGACATCACAAAGGCAGTTTGCGTGTTTGAGATCTTCGGATGGCTGGGCAAATTGGGATGCCAGCAACATTACAGACTGGATCAGAAAAATCTCCACAAACCAGGGACTACTTTCTAGAACATGTGGTTAGCTTAGCACATGTATCAAGGTAGTTCACATTAGCAGACGAGGAGAAAAATGTTTGTAATCTTGTCAACAGATGCAAAAAGAGTCTTCAATTAAACATTATTAGCAAGTTTTATTATTAGCAAGTTCTTAAACATTATTAGCAAGTTTTGTTTCGTTTTGTTGTTTTTTGAGACAAGGTCTCACTGTGTAGTCCAGGCTGGCCTCAAACTCATGGTAATACAGGCAATAAAAAGTCATTATCCTAGATCCAAACTGCATAATAATGTGGGCACAGCTTAGTCATCACTGAAACCCTGAGTCCTCCCTCAGAGAAACAAACAAACTTTTCCTCTATATGATTAAGTTAAAGGTTACATGTTCTCTTGCTGTGCAATGTCATTTCTGTTTTTTTGTTTTGTTTCTTTTTTTGTCTTTTTCCTTTTTATCAGTACCAGGGATCGAACTCACGACTGCCTGCTTGCAAGGCAGGTGCTTATGCGGCTGAGCTAAACCTCCAGCCCCTTCTGTTCTGTTTTTAAGTGTTTACGAATATTTCAGTGCTGTACACAGTACACTGATCGTGGGAGCTGGCACACACACCAAACAAGCTGATTCCTCTTCAGTCTTCCCTGCCTTCCCTCCTGATGGCACTTTCAATGACTAGAATTTTACGTTTTTTCCAGTAACTCTCACAGCCCAGGACAGCATGGTTCCGAACCAAGTACAGTCAATTAAACGACACATTCTCTTTCTTACTCTGAGAGGAGAAAAAATTCACACTAAAAGGGTTCAGTGAGCTTCTTGTATCTCTAAAATGAAACAGCAAATACCATACCAGAGCACAAAAATCTCAACTGAACTTGCATTTAACTGTATACAGCCAGTGGATTTAGTTCAACTCGGCAGCCCCAGCCACATACAGAGCACACCTCTGCGTCTCATGACTTAGCTCTGCTGTTCTAAGGGCTGCGTTTGCCATGGAGCTACGGCAAGGAAGCAAATGGCCAGGTAGGTGGGTGTTTATACAGCTGCAGCTGCACGCGCTGTGGTACAGTCTGCAAAGGCAGTAAAGACCGCTGAGTCAGGAAAGCATGCCAGTTATTTATTTCTGTGCCTTGGCAATCTTGAACTTTCCTAAAATAACGATGAACTAAAGAAAAATGCACTTCTCTTCATAGACCAAAGCAGACTGGAATAATGGCCTGTGGCAAGGAGACCTGACGGGCAGGAGCACGGCCACTGCCTGGGCCACGTGCCTCCTGTGGTCTGGGAGGTGGTCACTGTCATGCAGCACCCCCAGGGGTTTGTCATGCCACACCTTCTTCACCCATCCAGCCTCATGAATGAACACAGGTGAGCACCCTATCTGGACTGCTAGGGGCCAGACACCGAGCCACCTGTCTGTCCATGCCCGTGCCACTTACATCCAGGCACCTCTTCCCCAAGGAGTAGGGGAAATGCTGGACTGTTACCTGCAGGATCAAAATACCTGGATGACATGCACATCGCACGGAAACATGCAATACAGGTTGGTTCAAGTGCATCACAGATTTACAGCTGCATTTCCCAAAGGCAGCTGGTTGCTAGCAACAAAAACTGGGCACTACACAGAAACACAACACACTGAAGCTGTAACTGGGAGAGAGAAAACATTTACCCAGATGCCTGCCTGAGTCACTTACAGAGAGGGAAATGGTCACTGCGATCTTCCATAGGTAAGAGAGGTTTCTTCACTTGTCAGACAAGATGAGGGCAACAGCCCATAAGCACAAGGAGCTGCCTAGGAGACAGCGCTGCCCTCTCCAGAGGTGCCAGGTTTGGTCCGCCCCAGGGACTCCCGGTTTCCTCTGGACTCCAGCCCTGTGCCTTTCCTTTGCTGATTGCGTTCTTGTGAGCTCTTTCTGTAAGAGCTCTTAACATTCACTACAATTTACAACTTCTCCTCAGGCATCTCTGAGCATGCGGATTGCTTAGGCTCCCTTGACAAAGACAGAAAGGTACTTTCACACCACAGCTACTGCAAACTGTAACCCATGGAAAGCTACACAGGACCGGCATGGGCTCTGGAGGGGTTATTCCCCAGCAAGAATCCAAGGTAAATCCCAACCACCTTGCCCCTGGATTAAGTAGCGTATTCTTCACATGAGTACCCACCGGGGACTCTAGCAGGAAAGGAATCCTGAGACCCTGCTCCAGCGCCGCCCTCTTCCTCATCTTCTTCAAATTCTAAATTCTCTTCTTCACCAGGTGCTAAAATTTTTCTACAGGAAAAAGGATAGGAAAATTAGTGAGCAACCAGTTTAATGTACTAGTGAAGTGTCAGAGATTATCATTTCTCAAGGCACGATGGTGATTATTTTTTTAAAAAGCCAATATACTGATACCCATGTGGATATCAATGATATCATCGCTATCAGTGATACCAGTCACACCAGTGATACCAACACTGGCATACAAAAACAAGTGTCTGAACACAGGCATAAACTAGCAAAACAAGGAGTAAAATATGGATGGTTTTTAAAATTTTTACCTTAATGGGACAGACTGAACATCAAATGGAAATTCTTTATTATATGTAAGAATATTCTTTAGGACTAGAATAAAAAGATAAAGAAACATGAATTCTCCAGCAAGTAAAATCCAAGATTTTTTTAATGTTAAATGGATCTAATCTTTAATCATCTTCACTATACACATGTTTTTAAATTCCCCGCCTCATTATCAACCAGAATCATTGTGGATTTGTTCACAATGGTCTTAACAAAGATGGGGTAACAGACAGAATGAGCAGCTCTTCCCTACAGTACTCTAATTAATGAAAGGCTGGTATCAAAAATGACCAATTTGTGAGATACAGAGGCACATCTTACTCTGCACTGAACAGATTTCCTCTGAACACCATAAACTGGTAAGGTTTGTAGCTAAAAGGTTCCAATTCTCATAATCATACACGTATAAACATATATGTACACTCAAACACACATAGAGTGAACTCTATGCTCAAGGGAAGTCTCCAGACAATATGGCAGGACATCCTGCGCCCTGGCTATGGCTGCCTGACATCTCCGTGACTGCACACTGGAACGCCCGCTCAGAGAGACAGTCTTAAACCCTACCGATACCTGGACAAGCACTGCAAGTACGCAATGCAGTTTCTTTTCTGGTCTTACGGATTTCTCGCAACCATCTGCAGTTACATCAAAGTGAACTCACTGCGTTAACTAGGCAACCCCAACTCCCATAATTTTGTACTCAACTTAATCAGCCTTTAATTTGGGAGTCTTGCAGTTAGCACTAAGAGGTATAACAAGTGTTGGCATCCTTTTATTCCAACAGGAGTTCCATTTGCTTATCAAAATTATCTCCCTCTCTCTGTCTCTTCCTTCTAGCAGTACCAGGAAGGAGCCTAGGGCTTTTACACTGAGCACATCTCCAGTCCTTTTCTGTTATTCTTTATTTTGAGATAGGATCTTGCTAAGTTGCCCCAGGGTGGGGTCAATTTGTGATCCTCCTGCCTCACCTCCCAGAGTGCAGAGATTGCAAGTGTGAGCGTCACATCCAGCTTTATCAGGCTTTTCTATGTGCTCTACTAAACCATCCAGTGAAAGGAAGCTAGAAACTGGTGTCTAGAGTCTCAGTCTTCACTCTCGCCCTCTTCTGTCACAGCTCCTCCCTTAACAAATGCGGACTGAGCGCCAAAATGCCCCAGACATTGCGTTAGGTCTGAATGAAAACTAGAGTGATCGAGAACTCAAGTCCAAACATTAGACCCCGCTGAGGAAAAGCAGACAGTACATATACCCACAAACAAACAAAGCAGTGTAAGATGCAGAAGTGTTATGAAGGGTACAGGCCAGATCGGATGTCAATGCAGCAGTGCGAGTGCTGGGTAACGCAGCCAAGCAGGACATGGGAATCCTTCAAACCTAACTTGTTAGCAGATGAGAAGAATCACCCGAGCAGCCCCAGGTGAAGAAGAGAGCCACAGCTGGGCCCGCTGGAGGCCTGGCATGCACAGCGGGGCTGAGGTCTGACAAGCACGGAGGAGAGGCGGCAGACGGAGCAGATCGGCCCCTCTGCTGGTGCCTGAGACCAGAACATTCGCAGAGCCGCTCTGAGCCTCAGGCTCCCCAGTTCTGAAATGGGGATGCCACGCCTTCAGACTGCTAAGAGAATTCAAGTGAGATAACAGACACAAAACCACATGGACACATTTAAAACAGCGTGTGGACGCCTACACTGTTCCACAGTAAACTCATGCTCTCCATGGGTTCCCTGTCTAGCTGCCTTGAACCCCAGTATTCCGTATCTCACTAGCAAGTGTTATTTTTAGAGTATAAGAACATCCTTTCTAACCTTACTGCATGTCATTATTAGTAAGCTGTTAATTCAGCTCAGAAAATACCAAATAACCACTTCAGAGCACTGCACGATGCTAACAAGGGGAAGAAGGTGCCCAAAAAGACCAGGGTCATGGATATCAGAAACCAAACAGAAACAGTCAGGCCTTAATAGTAATATGATGAATTATGTTTTAATAATAATACAATGCGAAAATATTCTTTAAAGTACATATAAAATAACATCAATTTTTTAAAAACTGGAAACTATATCACATATTGCATTTGCATAGTAATGGAATATTCTGTTAGGTGTCAATACTTTGAAAATTAAATGTTTGCTGCTTAGATATATCCAATATTTATAGCAATAGCTTTATAGCAATAGCTTTTGAAGGAAAAAAAAGACCCTTTCTTACTGCCTCTAACACTAGGAGAGGCTTCCATTTTCACGGGCTATGGAATAATGGACTCTGGTGTCCTTTTAAATCTGAGCTCTTCCTTAAATTTTCCAAAAGGTTTCCTCCCACCAATCCAGGACTGAGGTCTTAGGAAGAGGTGGAAAAGAGGAGGAGAGCACTGTTTGCGACTCCACAGCAAGCTCTTGTACCCACTCACGGCAGGGCCAAAGTGGTCCTCTGCTGGGGACAGGCGGGACGCTGCCGAGTGTGGCCTGCCACCACCCTGACACTCACACTCCAGGGATGACGCGCACACAAACATCAAGAAGTGTTCTGCGTTTGTGGCTGACGTGCTTCATTTTTGTGGTAGGCAAACTGGGCAATGCTTCCACTCTCAAAGGTTGTTTTTCAAATTATGGGAGAAGATTCCCTCAAGACATTCACATCTGCGCAACCCAGCATAAACCTGCCTAGTGCAGACTGCATGGGCTCTGCGGGAAAATACAAGGGTATTCCTGATTTCTTTGCGAAGGGAAACAAATACACATGAGAATCATACAGGGCAGAATCTGATCTGGATGTAAAAATGCTTCTCTAAGGGACACAACACATTAGGCTGGAGGAAGCAGGGGAGGGAAGGGTTTCTGTGCAGCCTTCAAGGATCAATTAGCAGAAGGGAATTTCACAGCATGGGGGTGGGAACAAGAACACTGACTAGTGCTTTCCCAGTCACTGTTTTAGTATAAATTTCAAACAGGAGTTTCAAGAGATTTGCAAAGTAAACCAGCTAAGTTTAACACATTGAAAGCTACATTCATTCATTTTCCTTAGAAAAGGCTTGACCATGGGCAAGCTGTACTAAGAACTCTTCATCTGAAACCTAATCAAGTATTAGCTTTAGAAGCAGTCTAATTCCTGATAAAGTAATTAACTGAAAAAGCACTCAGCTCTGATGAATTCAACACTCATGCACGCATGCGTGCACACACACATGCACACACTCTAGCACACATGCAAAACCGCCACAGACTGTACTCTAATCTTCCACTAACACATGGGTTGATAACCTCTCTGGAGCTCCAGCAGAGAAGCACGGCGCCCAGGGCTACTCCTGCTCGGTGCACACCCTGCGCAGCCAGCCAGCTGCAGGAGGAGGCCTTCTTATCTGGATGCTCTGAGCGTTTACTCTAAGAACAAACAGCACCCAGCAAAACATCTCCCTGAGCAAGCTTTTAAGGAAAGATAAGAATGGGCAAGCAGTTCAGTCTTCAGGGTCATCTTGTGCAATGCTAAGCTTCCCAAATATTCCTTGGAAACAAAAGCAAATGAAAAGTAGTAATTAAATTAAAAAGCCAAAATCCTACTGTAATTATTTTATCATTAAAAATAGAATGTAATGCTTTTCTTTATAGCCACGATACAACAGATACCCTAACTAGAGTTGTAATCTTTTACTTAATGCATCAATATGGTTTCTTTCCTCAAAATAATCTTAAACACAGCTAGTAACCAAAGACAATAAATTACACGATTCCACTTACATGAGATGCCAGAATAGATGAATTAAATTAAGGATGGCCCAGGGCTACGGACGGCAGGGATGGGATGGGGAGAAAGGAATGACTGCTGTAGACACAGGGTTTCTTTTATATGATGAAAATGTCCTAAAATTGATGGTGGTGGTGGGTGCACAAGTGTCAGGGCGCTGAGAAACAGCCGCTTAGGCCCTTTGGGTCCTCATGGGCAGAAGACAGGCACACCCCAGGGGCAGGGACCCTGGCATCACAACAGCCCTGTGCCTTGAAGGGCCAGCCGGCATCACTCAGCACTAGGATGCCCTCCACTGTCCCTACAGGCCAAGCACTTGGTCCAGGGTCCCTTGGAGGTGGGCATCACCTGGGCATCACCTGTGTGGTTACCTACTGGACCTTCCGGGGTGAAGCTGCCTGTCAGGCCGGGAGACTGAACCTGGCTCACCTGAACTCTACACAGCGTGGCTCTGCACTCAGGGTCAAGTCTTCTTCGGGAATCAGGAACAGGATTATTTCTCGGTCGCCTGGGTGGCAGCCACTCATGTGCAGGCAAATTCATGGCATCTTCCTTTCAGCATATCAGGGTAATTTAAAAGGTGTTAGTTAAATATTACTTTATTTCACTGAAATCCAAGTTTGCTCTTTCTAACAAATCGGTCTGAGTGTCCACCTACCTCATTTTGTCTTCCAGTGTCACCGTACCAAGCACTCACATGAAAATACACACCAAACCACAAAG